GCCTATTGTCAACATAATTATGGAGTGTAATTTATTTTACACTCAAATTATCTTCAAACTAATGAAATTTAAAGTTATTAAGGAGGAAAATCCATCTGGATAACAGCAGACTGACTGCTCGTAAAATATACGACAGGTCTGGACCACTCGTGAATTTTGTTCGTATCTGAAAAAAATCTTAGAATATGAAAACATTGGTGAATGCCACAAATTCTCCTAAAACACTCGTAGGCACAATTTAAGAACAAATCTGTGCGTACGAACGGTTCTTGCATGAGAGCCATTGTTACAATAAACACAAATTTCCTTACTTTTTGTGCTAACTTTTGTTTTAATTTCCAGTAATAAAGTTACCTCTCTAAATGTGACCTAAAGAAAACAAAAGCCAAAAATGAATATCTATGTAGATTAACCAAATCAAACTGAAATCATTCTGCCACGGGACTTCTTAAGAATCTGCTAAAAACAGTGGTGAGTGCTTTAAGTCCAGTTTGTTCACAAATATGCACAGATTACACTTGAACCAAGTTCTGTTTGACCAGGTGTGTAGCTGAAACGGACATAATGAAGAGTCCTTTATTCTGGAGTGGACAGAGACACTGAGTACAGGTTTACAGCGTGCAGGCCAGCTGATGCAGCTCTTTGCTGAGGCCAATGGGACAGGGTGGGAGGGGGGGACAAGGTTACCTGGCTGGACCTGGGCGGCTGCTGCCGCCGCTGCAGCAGCCGTGTACCACGGCAGCAGGTGCATCAGCAGCTCTCTCTGCCTGCTCCATGATGAGTGATGGCCGGGGTGGAGGGTGGTGTTGGGGTTGGGGAAGATCCTGGGGAGGCAGCCGACTGTCCCGGCTACCGTCCTGTCTCTGTCCCCCTCCCTGGCCCTGGGCACGGGGCTCACACTGTGCTGGCTTTCACTCCACCTCAGCCCTTCAGTTGGGACAAAACCAATAACGAGGAAGGCCACGAGTTAGGCTCAAGACACCAGTTGTGGCAGAAAAAAAACTTAAGCGTTGGATTAGATTTGCATCTGTGTATAAACTGACACACTCCTGCAGACCTGCCATGACATTTCGAGCAAGCTCTTAAAAAAACAAATAACGGTTTTGTAATGAATTTCACTTTTTTGCAACTTAGAAATGAATTTTATAGGCAGACCTCCTTCATGACAAAGCGGGTCAACAGGAGTTTCTGTGAGTAGCAAAGCATGGCGGCCACTTTAAAAAACCTCATTCTTGTTAGTATCCATATTAACGAGTGAGTTAGCCATGTAGGGATGAAAACCAGCATCAGAGTTCCTCCAGCATCAGGGCTGAAAACTATGGAGGAGCTAAAGCAAAGCTGAGCTCGGGGGGGGGGGACACAATAACATGACGAGTGAAAACAGGAGTTGCTTTTCTTTTTTAAAAAATAAAATTAAATGAAAGAGTAAAGTTTAAAAAAAAGTCAAACAGGATTCACATTCATGGGTAAAAAATAAAAATTCCCTCTTTCAATTCTTGGGTTTGACATATCAGGACATAAAAACAACCCAGTCTTTACCAGGATTAGTAATTATTCATATCTAACCTCGGGGGAACTAAAACACAACAGATTCCTTTGAGTCATTATTTATTGAACAATGAAGCCAAAATAGAAAAGCTGTGTGTGAAAACTAAATCTGCCTCATGATCCAGTAGCTTCTTGAACCTCCTTAAACAACAAAACCTCAGTAGTGGTTTTCTATAGGACTTGATCAGTCTCTAACATGGTTGTGGAGGAATTTTGTCCCTGTACTCTTTCCAGCGTTGCTTCAGTTCATTGAGTTTTGCAGATATTTGTTTCTGCTCAGCTTTGCTAAGGTCCCACCACAATATTTCTGGAGTTTGACTGGACCACGCTGATTCTTTTCTTTTTGAGCCATTTGGTTGTAGATCAGCTGCTGTGTTTTCGGATCATTGTTCTATTGCATCATGATCCAGTTTAGTCCAACCGTCAGATCTCAGACAAATGGACTCACGTGGCTCTAGAGTTCTTTGGTCTACAGAGGAGATCATGGTCCGCTTAGACTGCAAGAGTCCAAACTATCAGCACTCCACCACTGTGCTGACAGCTGAGATGAGGAGTGTGTCCCAATTTACGGGCTGCAGGCTACCTAGACCATGGCCCACGTAGGCCACGGACAAAGAAGTTTGGGTAGGCTGCATAAAATAGCTGTGAAATGAGACGGTCTAGTCTTCAGATGACGAGTTGTCAGACTACTAGGGTTGGGCGATATTGGCAAAAAAAAAATCATGATTAATTGTGGTGTTGGTCAATAACGATTAATTTGACGATTAATCCCCTGGAGTCCCTGGATACCATTATGTCCTAGTCATATGACCAATTTAGTGGGAAAGATTTGCTCTTCGTAAAAATTTTTTTTCAAACTGTGTCAAAATCACAGACTTCAGGCTATACTTCAAATTTTAAATTGTGTTGATAAATAAATTACAGAACTTTTGTTTAAATGTTCGTCATATTTGAAGTGGAGAGGAGCACCGAGCGGACTGACCGGGGAAATTTCTAGTCAGTCTGCCTAGTGGCATTAATCGTATTAATCGTCAAGTACTAAAAAATAATTGATTAATGTTTTTCTGATGATTAATTGCAGACGATACTATTATGCCCAACCCTACAGACTACATCAACTTGGTAAATAAAAAAACAGTCTTAGTTTTCCTGTTAAGTTGGCTGAAGATATAACAAATCCTGGGATATCCTCAGCCAGGAAGGATACTCAGCCTTCATTTTTGGGGTTTTGTGAGCTGCATTCATCCTTCATGAGAAGGAGTCCATGAATTGGGACAGTCTTTGGTCCGAGGCAGTGACGTAAGTGGACGAAAAATGCAGACTTCAAAAGACAGTGCCCCTGAACTGGGACACAGCCGAGGTGTTTGTGCTGATTTGCTGAGGATTATGGGTAAACATCTATACAAAGATATCATCGGTCCAGAGGACAATGTTTCAGAAGTCTTATGGTGCGTTGACACCGAACGCGATTTCAACGTCAGGAGCAGCAGGTTTACATACAAAGTCTATGGTGGACGCGCTTCAAGCAARGTCGGGAAGTMCTGCGGCGCCTCAAGCGCGATTAGAGCAGCGCGATTTGAACGATTTGAACGATCTGAGCGTTCGACGCGCTGAGGCTCAAATCGCTGAAGTTAGAAAATCTGAACTTTTGCAGCTCGACGCGCCGCGTCAACCAATCAGAGAGACTCCACTGTGTGACGTAATGACATATTTCCCGACGGGACAGTTTACTGAATGATGTCCACTAACCTGAAACAGACAGAGCTCCTGCTCTTTAGCTGAAATGAGTGCCTGCAGTCGTGTCCTGATCCGCAGCAATGCGTGACAGAGATTCATCAGACTGGAAAAATAGTCCTGAAAGCGAGCTGTGAGCCTCTACTCTGAATTATCTGGTGAATTAATTATGAATTAATTATCTGATGAACGTGACATGTTCTTGCTCTGTAAATAAAGCAAAGCCACTTCCTCGTCCGACATTAAACAGAGCCCGACAGAGGAGGGAGGGGCGGGGAGGCTCTGCCGTGCAGCGCAGCTGTCCTGCGTCTGACCTCAAAGTGCACAAGCTTCAAACTTCAGCGTTGGCTGCGATTTTGAAGCTGAAATCGCGTTCGGTGTGAACGCACCATTATGGTTCATTCAAATGAAACTTTACAAACTTAAGTCATGCTGCCATGTTGTTTAAAGAGCGCTTTTTGATTTTTTTTCTAAGTTTTCTCTGTGCACTGCACACCTTGGAAAAATTACCTTGGATATCTATCCTAGGAAGAACAGCAGCTGTCCTGAATGTTTCTCACTTGTGAAAAATTGTTCTCTCTGTAGAATGATGGACTCCAAATACTTTGAAAATGACCTTTAACACTTCCCTGATTGACAGGCAACAAAGCTGATTCTCTAAGGTCATTGCTGTTGTCTTTCACCTTGGTGGTGTTGTGTTAACATACACCTGTACATTCCAGAGCAGCAAACTGACAAAACTCCTGCTTTTATAGAGGTGCTCACAATGATGACGATCAGTTCATCAACACAACTGATCAGAAATACCTGCCTGCTACTTTCTGTCTGAATCTTATGAAAGAAGACAGAGTGGATGTAGATTCCCACACAGCTTTTCTATTTTGGCTTAATTTTTATTTCATGAATACAGCAGTTGTAGAAGATCCTGATCTGTAAAACCATAGAGCTGACAGAAGGTGGACCTTTTTTAATTTTCCCATGAATGCTAGCATGCAGTTGGATACAAGACAAAACACCACCCTTCCAAAAAAGCTGTTCAGATCTGTTTTTTCCAAGCAGCTGTATTGTAGGACATGAAGAGGTCAGAACTGATTCAAGCTGTTACTCTAGCCCGCACAGACAAACCACCTTCATCCGCTACAGTTTCATTTCCTAACCAGAAGCCATATCGATTAAAATCTCCTGTGACGGGACTACCTTCATCATGTGTCTTCTTTCTGAAATTATGGATTTGTCTCGTGTCCTTCCTTGACCTCACAGCCCTTGAGGACCAGGTTGGGGTGTTAGCGGGGAAAATTAGAGATGCATTTATTTTTTACCATGCAGGATGGGAAGAAGGGGTGAACAGGAAAGGATGGTATGGGAAAGGTTAGCAAGCAGTTCGTCATATTCACAAAAAAAAAACTAAGCTCCCATTTGAATAAGTCTTGCACAGTCTAATCCATCATCATTAATCTGACATTTGATCTTGGGGCACAGATCGGTAATCTCATATTCTTATCTTCTGTACCTGACATTGATTATTTCTGCAGGGATCTGTGTTCCTGACAACTCTGTGTAAACTACCCTGATGTCCCGCGTCTCACCTGGATTGTTCCTCTCCAGCAAATACCAGCGATAAAAGGCTCTGCGTTTGGAGTCACTCATCTCCAGGCCCTGCTGCAGCAGCCACTGGGAGATGTAGCTCTGGCTGATGCCTGTGTATCAGGGAGACCGGACATGTCGTTAAACATGGTAAAAAGGCACTGATTTATTTTACAGCCGCCTGGCAGCATGTTCGCAGCACAGAGCGGCTGTGCTCCAGCTCGGGAACAACACATCCTGTTAGGCTAATAAAGCCACCCGTACTTAAAAGTGAGGGCGCGTGATTTAATGTGGGGCGTTTTTGGGGAAGCAACTGAAGAATAAAAAGACGTAACGAAGTGAATTTACTGCGACTTGTAAAGTACAACCTCTTCTTGTCTAATGCATTACAGCAATTACAGGCTTAGCAGTCCCTGAAGGAATGCGTATCGCCTAACGCCTTTGATGCCAGACTCACAGTTACCTCCAGTAATTAATAGAAAAGTTTTAAAAACACCAGTTGGTGTTCAAAGTATGCGTAGAGGATAAATCTCAGATATTACCAAATCAAATCAGAGCTCGAAATCTGTGAAAATGACTTGGTGGCCATGTTGAACTGAAATGACTTGAACTGCATTTTATTTAATACCTCATTGCAGCATAAATTTCATCAGCTAAGTTGCTAAATTATGCCAACTTAGTACAAAAAAATGCCATCTCTGTTTTGCTGTTTGCTGATGGCAAAATAAATCCTGGGATATCCTCGACTGAGAAGAATACTCAGATGCAGCCTTCATTTTGGGATTTTGTGAGTCGCACTCGTCAGCCACATGAGGAGTCCACGAATTGGGACAGCCTTCGGCCTGGAGCATTGACGCAAGCGGATGACAAATGCGCACTTCAGAGGATTGAGCCCCTGGATTGAGACACAGCCAGAAGGTACTGGCACTCAAAGTTTAAAATTCACAACGGGTGAGGTTTTTTTTTTTTGTTTTTTTTTTTGCACCAACACATTTGGGTTTGGGTAAAACATTTTTTCATAGAGTATTCAAGCCAGCCTGTCTGCCAAAAACTGAAAAGCTGACCCATGAGAGACTTTTTTTAACTGTTATCTCTAATTACTACTAACTTTACCTTTTGCTGAGGTATTATGTAGGTAGAACACCTATTTTTTAGACTCACTTGAAAAGAATATTACTCAGCCTTACATGTCTTTAGGACAAATTTAGAAGGTTAAAAAAAAGGTGGAAAAATAACCTAATTATTTGACCTATGGGTGTAAATTAGACCTTCTTAATCTAATAAAATCAGCTTTTTCATTTTATGTCTTGATGTTTTTGGTCTATATTAAAACAAACATGGGTCTAATTCTGTTCTAAGTGCAATGTAAATGAAAAATGGACCTCTCACCTCCCCAGTTTTGATGGTTCAACGGTGTCTAGGAGAAGAATGCACCAATTTTATTTTTTACTTTTTGAAAAGTTTATGTCACAATGTTTATTTTGACTAATTAGCCTTGGTTTTGTATTGGGATTACATAAAACAATTAAGAGAAATATTAAGAATAAAAAGTGATGATTTTTATTTTTTAACAAACTTTATTCGAACTGACAACATATTGTTTACAGAAAGGTTGTCTTATGTTTGGAAATATGGCAATATTGAAATTAGTGCTGATCAGGATTCAACACAGTGCCAGGACATTTTTCAAGAGTATGACTGAAAAAACTTTTGTGGCACTGCCAGTTTATCTTTGGGTTGTTCCCCGAAGGCAAAAAAAATTGCATTTAGTAAGTTTGCTTCAATCAACTCAAGTGATAGTGGTTATAAAATGATATTTAACAACTGACAGAACAATTTTTGAGCAAATTTTTATTTGATACTGTTTTGCACTTTGATTGATAGAATACTTTTGGCAGTTTGAAGTTGGGGTGTTTTCAATCATTACTGCACTGAGTTCCACTTTCTGTGAGTTTGGAGCTATAGTTATTCATCCAATGGTTACCATCTAAATGTTTCAATAAAATCCATTCAGTTGTTCGGAGATATTTGGCTAACAGACAAACTGGGTTGAGTCCAACAGTAAATGCTAAAGTTTTTGGGAAAGAGCTGTTACGAGTGTGTAGCGATTACTTTCTGAGATTTTCATTAAAATCCATCAAGTGGTTCCACAATTAACTCCAACAGTTAATGGGAAAACTTTAAAACACAACTTGAAGAACCAGTTAGCGCTCACACCAAAGTTTAGCTCCGTGTCTGTAAAACTGGTCAAGTTATTGCCATGTTTGTGTTTGCTAAGTTTGTTTAGCTGTGGCAGCCATCTTGAATTGCGATGACTCCAAAAGTTAATCAGCTGTAGATGCGCATCAAATGGTTATTTTCTAAAAGTTTCAATAAAATCGACCCAGTGGTTCCTGAGTTGTTGTTGTTGGTTTTTGTTTTTCTCAGTACAAACAAACAAACCCAGACAGTGAAAATCATCTTTGTCTTTGGTTGGCTATATTAAAAAATTCCTACAGCACCGTCACATCTAATATCAGTGCTAGTCTATTATTAGGTTTTGTAAACACAAAGCCATTTCTGGCATTTTAAAAGGGTAGTTGCATTTACAGACTGTCAATATTAAAACTCACACTGAGATAATAGGAAAATCATATTTTTACCTCCCAGCTTAACTTCAAATGATTTTTTAATGTTAAAGAAGCTGTAAATGCCTCCCAATTCATCTCTAACCTACAGATAAGTCAACCACATCAACTCCAAACAGAGAAAAACACAACAAATACAAAAAAATTAAAAGGAAAAATAACTGTTATTCACCAAAAGCATTCTTTTACCTTAATAAAATCCAATAAAATTAGAAAAACTCTCTGTTCATCACAAATGGTTGAATTACAAGTCCTGCGACAAAAGACATGAGATGAGTATCAAACATCACATTTCCATCTCCAACAGACATCTGCTTCATAAAGTATTCAGATCTTAAAATAAAACTTATTGTTTTTGTTGTAAATCAGTCAAGTGTGTAGGAGTTACGGTTCGTACTAGAAGAGAGGAATTTTTTTTGCTTGTTCAAGAAGCTGCAGAGTGGATCTTGGTGAGCCAAGGGTGCAATTTTATCCACCACAGGTGTAATGGCGGAGTAAGGGGTAGCTAATAGTGGCACCAGCCAACATTTGAGGAAACTACTTTTTGGTAATATAACACCAAGACGAAGTTTCCTTAAATGATTGAGGTGGCCGGTTTACATTTATATGATGGCAGCCAACTTAAAGTTTGACAAAGCAACCTAGTTTTTAAGAGGTACCTCTTATGCCTAAATGTAGCAAGATACCAAAATGGAAGTCGGTATCTCACTTATTTTTCAAGTTATTCAACTCACAAGACAGATTGAGAGTTTTTCCACTTCCCCTCTTTGCTTCTGTTTCTGCTTGGCCTTCAGACGACTCTGACGCTTTTTGCTCTCTCTCCAGAACCAGTCCCTTCTTCCCTGCTTTGCAGCTTTTTCAAGCCTTTCTTCTATCCATCATCCGAAAACAAAAGGAATTATGGATTTCGTCAACTGGTCTCTGAATGCAATCGACACTATTTTTTCAACACTATTTTTTTCAACACTGAGATTGGAGCGTGGGGAGCGCAGCTGTCCCAGTGGAATGGTGGCGGTCGGGCGAGTGTCTGGTTTGTGGGGTGGAACCAGATCTGTTTGGCGCCGCTTTCCATTGAAGACGTGGAAGATCTGTATATATTTGGATTTATGATAACTGGATTCCTGATGATCGGCTGTGGAGGAGTCCTGGTTAATCGGAAAATGAAAGCGATTCTGACAGCAGTCCGGGCCTGTGAAAAGCTGTCAGGAGTCTCCCGTACTGGAAACACACAGACTTTGATGTTGGGGACTTTGATGTTGGGGGATAAGTCGCAAACTGGACGTGATTCTGACGAGAATCACAGTTCAGCAGGGTGCCTGTAAGGAGTAGGATTACACCTGGGTGAAGTTTCAGTCGGAAAGAGAGGCGAGGAGATAATGAAATTCGGAGCATTTTCGCCATCACAGGGATGTAGTTATAGACTTAAAGCAGTGAGAAAATCAAGGCTGCTTGCCCCAAAATAATTATGTTTATCTTTTGGATCCCTGCAGCTGTGACCTTGGTTCAGCAGTTATCAAAACTCCCTGGATGGCATGTGAGACAGAGGCTTGACTCCCCATCCCCTTCCCTTATCACCCATGGGTGGATCAGTCTGAAGGCCACGATGGGTGGAGACAGAGAAACTGAACTCTGGTGATTTGTGCTTTGGTTGATAACAACTTGTTTTTGACTCTGGAGGTCTTTGATTGGTTCCAGCACAGAGTATTAACCGTAAACGTCACAGGCTCTTCTGCATCCTACCCCGTCCCATGTGTTTGATCCCCAGCCCCCTCCCTTCCTTAGCTGCCTTGCACTCGCGAGTGGTTATTTGAGCGTATGATTCTGTTTCTATCTTTGTAAACATAGGATCAGAACATCTTTTTTAACTCATCTTTCCTATTGTGTGTATTCCAAACTGAAAAAAGGTAGCGCACCGTTGTACAAAAGACCGTGGACATACGTTCCCCCATGTTTGTTACATGTGTCTTGCTCCGAACATATGTTCTAAACCGCAATTTCATTCTGCACTGCATCTTTGATATTGTGTGTGAATGAAAATAAAAGCTGATTCTGATTCTGCTCTGTAATGAGGGACAAAAACCATTAGGTCAAAGTAAATGCCTGCAGAGCTAAGAGACAGGCAAGGCACAGATTTGGGTAAGGCTACGAAACATTTTTGCTGCCCTGAAGGTTCCCAACAGATCAGTGTCCTCCAAGTTTATTAAATGGAAGATGTTTGGCAGCCCTGCTAAACAATGAAGAAAGAAGAGTCTCTCTAGGTTCTTTCACAAAATAATCCAGGCTGGGACCAGAGGTCTACTGGCCGGTTCTGTGGGACTTCTGTAACAAGACAAGGTGGTGAGCTGTGTTAGAACCAGTCCACCCCTGTTGTACCTCCATACCGCGGAGCTAGGTTGTAACAAAGGTGAGACGGCTGATATACGTAAATGTACCGAAAAGTCTGTGCCGTGGATCAATAATGTGATGAAGTGAGGACATTTGGTCTGTGCAACCAGCAACAAATAGATTTAAAACATCAACAATGACGCACAGCAGTTTTGACACATTTTGTACTTTGTTTTAAAAATGAGTTAACCACAAAGAGAATGGCTAAACTGTGCTTCACGTCAGCCCAGTTGAGTTCTGCTCCTTGACTCGCTCACTTCATGTCTCTAAACTCCCATCTGTGTGGGACATGGCCGGCTCCATCTGGTGATTTATGAATGGCCTGAGGATGCATAAAGGTGGACTGATCTGTGCAATGAAAGAGCCTTCTGACTGAGCTTCAGAGATCCAGTGTGGAGATGGGACCAAGTTCCAGAACAACCACAAGCGTGGGACTCCACCTGTGTGGGCTTTATGGCCTCTCCTCAGTGAACCTTGCTGCTGTGACTGCAGCATAACAGTGGCTCTACAAAGTATTAACTTTAGGGGGATTGAATAAAATATTTTTTAAATATTTTTTACTTTATGTCATTAATCTGAAGTATTTTTTGTAGGTTTATTACCTTAGTGATAGCACAGAGAAGGTTGCATACCTGTGACTTGGCCCACGATTGCCTGAGAGATCCTGCGATTGTTGAGGAAAGTTTTAATCTCCTCCTTCACCAGGTTGCTGTCTCTCCTGTAAAAGCAATAAAAGATGGCATAAGAAACATTATACGGTGGTTAAAACACCAGCATACGCTCTCACTAACCTTATCCACTGATATTTTCCTAGCAATCCCTGAACACCTGGCCTGAATTAACTTCAGTACAATTCTGGAGAATAAGACTGCACCTTTGGGGACACTAGCTGTCATTATATGATGTTATAATAGTCTCTCATACTTTCTACTTTTCCAACCCATCAAGCTCTTAGAACCATTTCCCCACCTCATGTACTCCTCCACTTTCTCCTCAAGGTCCCAGTCCTCATCCCCCATCATGTCGTAGCTGAATGACCGCTGAACCACCACAGTGGGCGTGCAGAGGGGCGGAGGTGAGGCCTCGCAGCTGTTGCTCGGGGACAGCGCGGCGCCGTCCAGGCCGGAGGTCTGCGTGGTGGCGGAGGCCAGGGAGAGCGAGGAGAAGGAAGACGACGAGGACGAGGACGGGGCCGGGGCCTGGGCAGCGGTGGCCGGGTTGGGGTGTGAGTCGCAGAGCGACGGGCGGTGGTCCGGGTCCAGCCTCTCCAGGGACTCCAGGGCGTGGATGATCTGCGGTTTGGTCATGCCCGAGAGACGAAGGCGCTGCAGGAGGTCGATCTGCTCGATGGTGTAGCGCGGCTCTGCTTCGCAGCACTCCACTCGCGGATCTGCAGGCAACATCGTGGGGTGGGGGGCAAAAATCAAGGAACATCTGAGACCGGCAAACTGAGTGAAACACAAGATCTGCACTTTTGTGTTATTTTTCTTTCCTCACCCCTAAACAGTTTGCAATACAAGACTTGACAAAGTGTCTCCAAGGAAGATGAAGCTAAATTTATCTCATCAAAAGGATTATTAATAGATTTAAAAAAATAAAATAAGATGCACCCATATGAGTTCAAACACACTGAGCATTTACTTTGAAAGCAAATTGCACAAAAATATTTAATTAATGCCATGAAGCTCTAAGTACACAAGCCTGTTTGTTGGATTGCACTCAGGAGAAAGAGACTGCATTCCCCTCTGAGAAACTTGTGGGTCATTCAAAGTTCTGGCAACCTTTCAAACACTTGGCACAGACACTTAGGGCTAACCTTGGTCAATTTGTCCAGAGTGGAATTAAAGTAAGATCACCTCTGCATGAATAACTTAACAGCAGGTCCTTTCAGCTCGTAATATTTATTATTATTTTTATTGTCCGCTCCCAAAGGTGAGAGGCGAGAGCGTGTTTTCCAGTGTTGGTGTGTTTATGCTTGTTTGTTTGTTTGTTTGTTTGTTTGTTTGTTTGTTTGTTTGTCTGTCTCTCTGTACTGTAAAGTATCACATGAATCACTGGACAGATTTTAATAAAACTCTTGGAAAGTAATAGTTTGATTTACAGCCACCACTAATTGCCTCCTGGAGTCAATCCAGTTTAAAATGATCGCCACAGCTGAATGTCCTTAACAAACATAAAATTAACTTTTGTTAAATCCATATTTTACTGATATGGAGGTAAAACTTGTTGTGGTGGTAGCTGAGAGTCATCCTAAATACATTTATTTTGAGATTTCACTCTACACATCTAAAATACAGCATAACATCTTTAATTGGATGTCACAGATGAAAGACGGTGGGTAGGGCGAAACGATATCAAGAAAACCTGCGATGTGCAATAACAGTGCGATGACGATATGACTTGCGATAAATCAAAAAAGCATTGTTGATGTTTTTCTGCTCTGTTGGTTCAGAGCAAAAAACAACTAATACAAAATTTCCATTACAACACGACTGAAAGATTATGATTGATGTTGTTTCTCTAGTCCATTTTATTTATCAGACTAATGCTGACAAACCACATAAATGCAAACACTAGAGCCAATCGTCTATTGCCATTCATGCATGTTTTGTAATATGCGTATTGCACTGGCTGTTATCGCGATAACGATAAATTTGCGATATATTGTGTAGCCCTAGCGGTGGGTGATATGCATTCTTTCACTTTTATTTGCTCCTTGGAGGGAAACACATCAGTACTTAATATAAACCCAACTACATTCCTAAAACCTATAAAACCCATTCTTTAGCTCAGTATCAGTATGATTAGATGTTTGTTTACAATAAACATCTCCATTAGCCAATCACCTACTGCTCTTAAAAAGTTGATCTGATCGAAGAGTGGCATGCCGAATTTACTTAAAGATTTAAACATTTCAAAACACAACGAGTCCAACTTTATTTGTTGTCCTGTTGGAGTTTCAGGACCACCTGGTGTTAAATTAGGCGTTCACAGAGCGTAATAAGTCTGCCCTATGCTGTGCCGTCTCTGCAAATTCACAGCATTCAAGTGACTATCCTGTTTGTGTCTTCAAAAACCAAAACCCTGACACGTTTTTTTCTAGTTACCCCTTTAAGTTATCTCACCTGAGGAAGGGGGGGACACGGACAGGCGCCCCGGGAGCGGTTCAGCCCGTGGGGTCGCAGCGGGGACACACCACTGTCGCATGGCTTCGGCGGAGTTCGGCTCGGCTGGACCTACGGAGTCGGACAGGAGGCTGACTGACTGCAGTGTGCTGCGGTTAAACTGTCCCTATTAGCATGCTGGCAACCCGTCAACAGCAGATGACTCGCTTCAGGAGGCTTGTGTGTGTGTGTGTGTTGGCTAGCAGCTGTAAAGCTAGCGACTTGAACTCTGGCTGCTGGGTCCCTGAAAACGAATAACCTCTAGTTGCTCTAGACAGCTCGAGGTTTTAAAGAAGAAAAAAATTATGCACGCAGACTTCAAAATAAAAAACATATCGTGATGAGCTGCATTCGGGATTTTGGTATAATGGTAATGCTAATTAGAATAATAATAGATTTGCAACACGTTTGTAAATAATTTATAGAATCAAAGCTTCGTCTGCTAGACTTCTAAACCAATCAAGGCTAAGGTATGCTTTTACTTTGAAAGGACACAGGAAACAGCACCTGCTGTAAACAATCATGCTAACTTGCCTGCTCCGACTCTGCTAACTACTTGATAAAAAAAAATTTAAACTTAGTGCTGTAATAAAGACATTTAAAATAAGTCAAATCACAGAGTTTTTCTGGGTTTACGTGACTGCGAACAAGCATTTATCGCATTATTGTGTAGCTTGCACACACACCGCTCCTAATGACTTAGCTCGCTAGCTAGCTAAGTTAGCCAAGTTAGCTGGAGAGGCCAGCTCCGGGACAGTCCCGCCGCGAAGCTCCTCTCTTACCTCCGCTGCTGTGCAGAGCCAGCAGCCGCTACCTGAACGGACCTGACACTTCAAACTGGAGAGAAAGCGGCGGTCCACCCTGTTCTGTTCAACACCGTAACTCCAGAAGTGTCCAGGCTGGAGGTTGAAGTGACGAACGATACAGGGGCATACTGTCGTTCAGCTGCGCTGAAAAAAAAAAAAAGTAAAATAATAAAGTCTGTCTCAGTTTGGGAGCCCCTCACAGATGGTACTGTAAAGGCAAATGGATCTATGGTTTCCGGTTCTACTGTATGGAATACAAAAGTTCCCTAACAAAACTCCAGTTCTCATATATTTTAGGTTGTAAATACTATTAAATAACTATTGTAGTAATTGTGTATGCATGATTCAAAATTAGAAAGAGGATTAGGAAGTTACAGATTAATTTGGGGGTATTCTAATTTTATTTAGAACAATTATAAATAACATTTTTATTTACTCTAAGGGTTGAAACTCATGTATGGGGGCACAATCACTGTAAAAAGCTTTCCTGCTAACAGAGCAAGAGCTTGATTTCAATTTTTGTTGTTTACTATTAGAATCCAACCAATATTGTTAGCAAAATATCTCCTGATGCACTGAAGGGATGTTATTGAAACTTTTTAGGAAATGATCAGTGATTGCACATCTACAGTCCAATGCAACATGACTGTCACAGCTGACTGAACTTAATAAGCACAAAAATGATAATTTAGTTTTACAATTGAGTTAAACTTTGGTGTGGTTGTGGCTAAGAGTCACATATTTCATTATCTGTAGAAGTTGAGGCAGAAAAGATTTGATGATTTCTTCATGGGTGCAATCAACATTCAGCTCTGCTCAATCCACAAATGTATTTTTCCAAAGCATTCGTCCAAATGAACAGAAAACATGACTTCACCACATTGAAATGGCCACATCAGAACCTGGATTTAAAGTGTCTGTGATTTTATTATAAGTACAGAAAGAAAACTTAAGGACGACATTTGTCATAACACACAGGATTTTAGCCATTTTGTCACAGAATATTTTTGTTTTGAACTCGAAGAGCGACAAGATAAGGGAACCCGCCGGTCTTTCTTTAAATCTGATATATATTTATCTCCCTGATAAAAACTCATGATATTCTGTTGTCGGCCATTGTAGTCATGCTTTGTTTCCTTTATGTCATCACTTCCTGTTACTGCACATGCTGAAATCTCAACAACTTGTCTCAGCGATACGATTATGTATTGCAATATGGATTAATTTGATCTTTCCATTAAGAAGAAAAATAAAACAAAGAATATAATCAAAATAGAGAAAATGCAAATAAATCTGTGACCAGTTAGTATATTTTTATTTTGCGCTCTGTAAAAAGAAATATAGTTTTTCCACAGAAAACATTTTTAATGGTGTGCTTCAGTAACAGAATTTGTCAACTAGAGGGCACAAAAGTCAATCACCTGAAAAGGTTTTTAGTCTCTCAAGAACCACAGGAAGCCCATCCTTTGCTGAAAAATATAATTTTAATTGTTACAAAGATTTTAAGGTGTGTAAAGCAATCCCCTTGGCTTTGATCCAGCTAATCAAAAATGTTGTTTTATATGCAAAGGTGACAGCTTTGATGCCCACACTAAAGGTGAATGATTGTAACTTGATGGATTACAAATGCAACAATAGGATGATTAATGAAACTAAAAGACAAAAGATTTACTATGACTATAATGCAGATTCCTTCAAGAAACCTTCTAATACCAGCAATAAAACCATAATGACTTTTGCTCATTCCAAATTTACAAAATGGCCTTTATCTCCTAAAGTGAAGGAAACACATTTTAAAATAATTAATAGGGTATATCCTGTAGCCTTGTTTCTTGAAAGAAGATTTAAATTTGAAAAGGATTTGTGTAGTTTTTGTAAGTCAGAAGATGAATCCTTTGAACATTTGTTTTTATTCACAAAGCTTTTGGTCAGAAATTAGGAACTGGATAAATCTTAAACTTAACATTCCCTCTTTTGATGTGGACATTTTGTTTTATGTGTATAATTTAAGTTCTTCCTTCTCTGATGCCATAAATGTAGTCATACGTTTAGCAAAATACCATATTCACTGTAACAAGTGGAGAGATACCAAGCCCTCCTTCCCCTGTTTTATGAACAAATTTAAAGTATACTTTTCTTCATTAAGTACATTAAAAAACTGGAAATCAGCCAAGATCATCTCAAACCAGATCTCTATAATTTTACTCACTGTATCATTTTGCTCAGTTGTTTTTTTTTTTTTTTTCTGTAATATCCTTTAGCTGGGCCCCTGACGTGTGGCTTGTAGTTTTATTTTTTTACCCTTAACGAGAGTTGTATTATTGTTGTTCTGTTTTACATTGTTAACCACAGGAAGATCCCAGAGACGTAAAAGTTTCGGATCAAGGCAAAGAACAACTATGGAATTCTTTTGCAACCAACAATTGGCATGTAAAAACTGCGTTTTTGTGAGATTTTAAAATTTTCAGGGAACATAGTTCAAAAGATTGCACTTACTTGCTGTTTGGATTCTTTCTTACCTTGAAACAGTTGCTAATGTTGTAAAGCACTATATTTATTTTTAACATATATACTGTATATATATACTGTATATATGCAAAAAAAAAAAACCTTGAAATGAAATGTATGACAAATTATAAAATTTTAAACATCAACCGGGGCAGGCCTGGGAAGGATTTGCCAAGATTGATGGCAAATACGGTACACTGAAGCCGAGAGTGGCCGTTTTCTGTATATAATTATTTTTCCATGGTTTTCTCGTGAAATAACCAGGAGCGTTTTCTTGAGATAAAGAGTTGATTTCAAGATGCCTTTGTCATCTAAGGAAACTGCTGTCCTGACTGCAGATCAGCAGGTGTTTCCACAGGGATCCTGCTGATATAATAAACTTTATCAGTGACCAGTTGAGGGGATCGGGCCATCTCCATGGTTCCTGAATGATGCACAGAAAATCATAACTTGTTGTCTCGAGAAAACCGTGGGGAAATTAACTCGTTATCTCGAGAAAACTGTCCTCGTTATTTTTGTGATTTTTCAGGGGAAAACCACGGAAAAAATTAAATGCGGAAAACGTCCGCTCTCAGCTTCACAAAATTCTAATTAACAGTTACGCATTCAAAATAAAAGCATGTCTTACAAAGCAGAATCAATGACATTTTATAAACTTAAATGTAACTAAAACCAGCATTTTTATTTTTTATCTCTCTTTTAGCTTAATTTTAAGTAGCCAGAGGTGCCTCCAGAATTTGTTTATTGGGGTACATGGGTGGGGGGCTGAAAATACTGGAGTGGCACCAAAACTAAAAGCCTGAATTTTAGGAGATTTGTTATGATGTCATGTTCTAAATTAAATATAAAACTGACTTGCAACAGGGGGCCACTGATGAGGAACCAATTTGTTTTTTAGGGATGAGCATTGCCCTCCTCGGCCCCCACTTGGTGGCGCCTCTGCGAAACAAATTTACACAATTTTATTTTGAAAAGCCTGAAAGAGGCGTGTCACGCCTTGCTGTCTGACAGGTCTGAGGAGGCGTACTGTTTGGGTAGGACTGACTGATCCAAAGAGCCGGGCTCATTCAGTCATTGGGGAGCTGCTGTCAGTCCAAACGGATGGGGACCTAACAGACATGGCTGGTGCAGGTAATTAAAGCTTAGCTGACAATTCAGGTGCTGCTGAAACACCTTCACTGTGTTGGTTTGGGTGTGGCACAGATGATTTACTCTCAAGACAGCTTTGAAACTGCATCAACATGGTACTAAAAATAGAAGCAAGAAAACTGAAAGTTTATTTGAAAACCTTAGATTTTTTTAAACTCTCACCTTTCATGATTTAAAATGCTTGATTTTAAACAGCTCTGACACACTAAATGTCTTCTTTATGTAGGAATGTGCACAGTGGAGATTCTCTGGTTAGTTTGTTGTGAAATTGTTGACATTTCAAAGTGAGAACAGGTTGAAGTTAAGAATAGTTCTTCCAGGTCTTGTTTATCCCACACACAAGTAAACAGCTTCAGTTGGTTTATGAAGCAGCAAAGTTTAATTAACATAATCAAGTCAGGATTAAACTAAATACATTATTTTTTAATTTCTTTAAATTTTTTACAGATGTATGCTGTGTTTTTTTAGTTGCCATGAACATAAACCTATATATTATGTGTCAAACTCAAGGCCCGTGGGCCAAATATAGTCCGCCACAACATATTATATGTCCCGTGGACATTTCCAAGAGTAACATTTTAAAATAAGCATATAATGCTTTGACTATAAACTGCATCTCTCATAATGCATGTTGATTATTTTACCTGCAAAATGAAAGCTTCATTCTAAAGTAGCCAGTAAAATTTGCTGTGTAAAATCTCCATTTAGCTGCATTTTCACCAGCTACTTTTGTTGCATCACAGTTGTACTAGGAAGTGGGAATTTCCCATGTACAAGTCGTAAATTTAAACTGGAGCACCCGCTCCAGATGTAATTCCTTGTCAGAAAGTGGGAGAAATCTGACTACCCCAGTTCAGAATTACAGAGAGAAGCTACTCACCACAACTCAACAGAGAGTAAATATTTCTGTATTATTTCACATTTAGTCAGTCATACACATAGTTAATGATAGGCTGTGTTAAACGCTGTTTCTATACTCAAGAGCTCAATTATTGCTTGTTAGCGATGCTCAGTCATAGCAATGAGACGCGGAACGTGACGTTTTGTGTTTAGGTGAAGTTAAACACGAAACACTGAAGTTAGTTAGTACTGTAACTAATTTTACATTATTGCAACTATATATATATATGTATATAT